GGCTGGTTGAAATTTTATCATCAAAATTTTTTATACCAAAAATGGGGCTTAGTCTAAAAATTAAATTTTGCATGAAAAAAATTGTTTTGTTTTTCAAAAAAATTGAAATTGAAAAAAATAGACATTTTTGAAAAAAAAAATCATGTCAAAACATTGGAAAAATCCCAAACTACTCTCCATTTTTAAATCCTTCCCCTTTATTTGCCCCAAGGAGACTGAGGGGGAATATGATAGAGGTCTATAAAAGCATGAGAAAATGTTACCAATTATATCAGTTTAATTATATAGGCGTAGGTAAAATGATGTTGTAATAAATGGCCTGATTCCTCTTTGGATGCTTTTAGTTCAGAATAAGAGACATTTTTATCAGCTCTATTAAATGCTTCTGAAACTGAATAAGGAAAACTAAAGTAAAAAGACATTCTAATATCAGAGTAAGCATCGACATGATGCTGAGAGTTAATTTCAGAGTTTCAGTTCAAATTCAGACCTAGCTTATATAATTATTCATACATGAATTGAGCTTTCATATGTAGACTAGTCCTTAGAGCAGTAGTTCTCAGTTGAGGAACAGAACCCTTGAAGGTACTCAGAGGTCTTCCAGAGGTTATGTCAACTCATCTAGATATTTGCCTAGTTTTGCAACAGGCTACATAAAAAGCACTCATAAAGTCAATCCAAACTAAAATTTCATGCAATGATTGCTTATACTGCTCTACATACTATGCACTGAAATGCAAGTACAATTATATCCCAATTGGTTATTTATAATTACATAATAAAATGAGAAGATCAGCAATTTTTAAGCAATAGTGTGCTGTGACACTTCAGTATTTTTCTATTTGACTAGAAGATTTACCTGACATTGCTCAAGTTAATTCATTTTGGAGTTTTGGAAAATAAAATGAAAAAGTATGTGCTTCATTTGAGTCACCGTTCTGGGGTGGGGCTGGGGAGGAGGGGTTCAGAATTACCCCAGCCCTCTTTCAACACAGCAGCTTGGGGCCAGGTGAGAAGTGCCTCTCCAGGATTGCTGCAGCTCCAGCAGGCACAGACCAGGGAGGGGTGCATGTTCCCTGCCTGGGGCAGATCCAGGTTCATCTGCCTCCTGCACTCCCCAAGCTGAGTGAAGAATGTTGCAAACTGCACACTTGCCCTGGCTCCCTGGCAAAAGGGAACAGCTAGCAATGTTTCCATATGAATCAGGGGGTGGGACTCTTTCAGCTCCCCCCACCCTCCCTAAAGGGCACCTAGGGGTGGGAGGCTTGGGGCTGGGGCCGTCCCAAAGGGGAGGATCCCCCAACCAGCCCTTTTCACATGCCTGGTGACTCTGTCTGTTTTCTGTATGGTTTTCTGAGAAGCAATCCTGTTCCAAGCACATCCCGTTTTCCTAGCACAGCCAAACCCTGACCTTGCTTTAAGTTATGATAAGAGGAAGTTGCATACTGAATGTGGTGGTCCTAGCTCTTACTGTTTGGAAGAAGTTCTAGAACAGACAGACAGACACACAAACTCTCTCAAATATACAGTAGATTTTGTAAGGAAATAGTTTGTAAGTGAGGTGAAACTCGAGGTACACAAAGACAAATCTGACCCCTGAAAGGAGTACAGCAGTCTGGAAAGGATGAGCTGCACTGATCTAAATCATATCCAACCAGCAGAAATTGTAAAAGTAAAAACTTTCAATGAGACTGAGGCAGAGCAAAATTAACTGGAAGATGAAAGGTATATAGTGCCCTGAAGGTTCCTGTACTTGCATTATAGGGTGTGTTGACTAAGACTAGTTCTGGCTAGCCTATAAACACTGAGAACACCATCTAATTTAAAAAACAAAAGAAAATCTTCAGTACACTGACCCACATTTTTCCAGTGTTACTATGTTTGTGTTTTACAGGATTATGTTTATCGCAACAGCTCAAACAAAACCGTGTCTGATATTTTTCACAGGAATTAGCATGCTGAGAAATGTCTTGCAATGAGAGAACCAACCTGTAGGTATCTTTGTATATGTTACCAAGCAACTCAAGCACAGAGGCCTCTCCCAGAACACACTGAAAGTAAAAAGGAACAGAGAGCACGAACATTTCCAGTCTTTCTATGCAGTGCAATTCATCCAATAGAGTATTGTTAATGGTGTTCTCAAATGTCCCATCGATGCGAAGCCATTTGAAATGGCTAGCCTCTTTATCAAGTTCTTGGAGAGTGGCTATCAGTTTTGCCAAGCTGAAGAACTTCAAAATCATGAGTCAGTCCCACCTTTTTTTTAAATAATACACTTTGAATTCTTTTCTTTTTTTCTGGTTTCTGAAAATTCGGGGTATATGAGCTTCACAGTTTCAAGCTTTTCTCTGTACTGTGAGGAGAAATTATGATGTAGTTTGAGTATACTTGATAGGTTTTCACTAGGGATGCAGCTCTCCACCTCAGAATCATACACAGAAAAATGTGCAGCCAACCCTTAGGAAAACAGCTCATACTCTTTTCTAGAAATGGTGCAGTGGGTTTGCCCAGTTTTTTTTAACACAATTATTTCACTGCAAGCACTTATAGGTGTTTCAGTTTGGTTCAGGTCAGTACCCAGAGCTTTGAATTAAAATTGTCCGTTAGTATCTAAACTACCTGAGCCAGCTGAGTCTGCAAAATTGGACAGTACATCTTGCGAGAACAGGGTTATTCCACGAGGTTTCCAATATTAGCCATTTGGACTGTAAATAACTTGCTTCTGATAAAGCCAGTTTCAACTGAGACATTTTGGTCACTTCTGGGCTTGGATGGAGACGGTGCAAACAGAAATGAATTTTTTTCCCCTTTTGTATTTGACAGCACTTTGTACAAGTTGTTTTCTGCTTTATCAAATGGCATTGACCTAATTCAGGCCTATATGCCACTGTTACAATTTAAGTGTAAAATGAAATATGAGCTAACCAAGCTCATTGTTTATACTGCAGTACGAATTCCAGGCAGCCTCCTGGAGATTTGATTGTCTTTTAAACTTCCTTATCACCTTCATACAAAGGTACTGGCATATTTGCCTTTGGAGTATTGCCTTTGGTAACATGTGGTATGGGTAAATATGTCTATACATTTCTGGGTGAATGGATCTGTAGCATCTGAAACCACAAAAAAAGCCAATAGAGAATAGTAATAGAAATATAGCCGTGATGGTCTGGTGTAGCTGAAGCAAAATACAGGACTATGTAGCACTTTAAAGACTAACAAGATGGTTTATTAGATGATGAGCTTTCGTGGGCCAGACCCACTTCCTCAGATCAAATAGTGGAAGAAAATAGTCACAACCATATATACCAAAGGATACAATTTAAAAAAATGAACACATATGAAAAGGACAAATCACATTTCAGAACAGAAGGAGGATGCGAAGGAAGGTAAGTGTCTGTGAATTAATTATATTAGAGGTGGGGAGAGTTAGATGTCTGTGAGCTAATAGAGAATAAGCATTATTGTCTACAGGCAGCGCTATAGGGTCATAGGGGATGTCCGGGTGAAGTGTCCAACCGTGGTTTTGTAAGAGGAGGTGGCGATGTGGAGGGAAGGGATACGGGTCTGTTACCATCATCTTGAGGAGGTAAGGGTACCATGTTCGTCTGGGCCAAGCAGGTGCCACCAGAATCACCCGTGCCTGGCTCGATCTGATCTTGTCCAGGACTCTGTGTAGGAGTGGGAGAGGGAGAAAGGCGTAGAGGAGGGAGGTGTCCCATGCGATGGAAAAGGCGTCTCCGAAGGAACTTCTGCCCAGGGCTCCCCTGGAGCAGTAGAGGTGGCACTTTCGATTGTTCTTTGTGGCGAAGAGGTCCACTTCTGGTTGGCCCCAGTGAAGAAAGATCGGAGTGAGGGCGTGTCTGTCGATCTCCCACTCGTGCTGGTCCATGAACATGCAACTTAGGGCGTCTGCTGTGACGTTGAGTATTCTGGGAAGATATACAGCGGAAGGGGTGACCCCATGTGAGAGGCACCAGGTCCAGAATTTGGTGGCTTCCGAGCATAAGGAAGGGGAACGGGCGCCACCCTGACGGTTGATGTAGTACATGCAGGTGGTATTGTCCGTCATAATGGTGATGGTCTTGTGGGCTATATGGTGAATGAAGTATTGGCATGCATATCTGACTGCCCGTAACTCGAGGAGGTTGATGTGGAGTGTTTGCTCCACAAATGACCATTTGCCTTGGGCTGTGATGCTTCCCAAATGGGCTCCCCATCCCATGAGTGAGGCGTCTGTTATAAGCGTGAGAGTGTAAGTTGGATGTTGAAAGGGGACGCGGTGTAGCATGTTTTGAGGAATTGTCCACCAGAGCATGGAATTAATAATGCGTGGTGGGATAGCGATGTACTTGGAGATTTGGCCCCTGGAGGGTCTGTACACTGTAGCGAGCCAGGACTGAAGAGGTCTCATGTGGCGTCTGGCCAACCTGACGACGTACGTCGTGGTGGCCATGTGTCCGAGGATTTCGAGGCAGTGGCGGACCGTGACAGTAGGTACCGCTTGTGTTGCTCGGACAAGGTCGCGTATTATCGCAAACCTGTGTTCGGGAAGAGTGGCCCTTGCTGCGATTGTATCGAGGAGGGCGCCTATGAACTCCAGTCTTTGTGTTGGGTGTAAAGTGGATTTTGCGTAATTTACGTGAAACCCGAGACTGAGTAAAAGGGCTACTGTGGTATCTGTCATGGCCTTCGTTTCGTTGAAAGACGCAGCTTTTATGAGGCAATCGTCCAGGTATGGGAATATTATGATGCCTTGGCGTCGAAGAAAGGCCATTACTACCGATAGGATTTTGGAAAATACCCTGGGGGCCGTAGAGAGGCCAAACGGGAGCACCCTGTATTGGTAGTGTTGGGTACCCACTGTAAATCGGAGGAAGCGTCTGTGAGCAGGATGAATTGTAATATGGAAATATGCGTCCTGAAGGTCGAGAGCCGAAAGCCA